GAACTGGCCCTGGAGAAAGGAGAGCCACTGCAGAACAGTGCCCCCACTCCCAGCCCCTGAAGCTGGTCCAGAAGGATACCATGGTCAATGGTATTGAAAGCCACTGAAAGATCCAGAGGGCAAGAATAGATGCACCATTCCCGTCCCAAGCCCCCCAGAGGTCATCCATAAGTATGACCAATGCTGTCTCAGTACCGTAACCTGGACTGACTCCTGACTGGAAAGGGTCCGGATGATCCACTTCTTTCAGAGTCTCCAGAAGTTGTGCATCTACCGCCAACTCCACAACCCTCCCTAAGAAGGGAAGGTTGGGAACGGGACGAAAATTGTCCAGTGCTGTTGGGTCCAAGGATGGCATCTTATGGAGGGGACAGGCCACTGTCTGCTTCAAAACCCTCTGTTCTGCAGAGAAGCATTCCCTACCACATGGATGCCACCTCCTGGCTGGCCTTGGTCAACCAGGAGAGATGCTGGTCTGATACACGGATGGTAGAGCTCACCGCTCCAAGGAACTTGTCCACTTCCTCAGAGCTAACTGGCCAAAACTCATCCCAGATAAACATAGGACCTGTCCAGCTAGCGTTCAGCAGATCTGAGCATCTTTGTCCAACAAATAGAATCATCCTCCCAACAACTCTGCAAGGGCTTCCCATCCCCTCTTTGCCAAGGAGGGATCTGGTCACCTGAAACAGGCCTGCCAGTCGCTATCGGCAGAGTCAGTAAGAACGGAGAAGTGAGTCTGCTTTGCTGCACTGACCACCACTAAATAAGTCCTAATAAAGACTGCTACCCGTGCTTAATCGGATTTGTTCTTTGCCTTCCTCCACAGTGATCTGAGTGTCTATTATTGTGATGTTTCATCTCCCAGAACTCAGAAAACTAGAGAGCATCACAGGATCCCTGATTACACAGAGTCCACACATGCAATCCAATCTATGTACCCCATTAAGGAACTGCAAGTGATAAGCTGAGCGGTATTTTAAAATAAACTCTCTGTTACTTCTTTCAAGAAGTCAGGTGCTAACGTACTAGAAAAAGAAAAGATGCCTTGATTTCATAAATTTACCAACTGGCTAAAAAACAAACCTAGGCATAAAGCTTAGTGGAGATTTTGAAGCTTTGTTTTCTTTAAATCCCAGCAAAACATAAAGCGGCAGAAGAAATGGAGGAAAGACTTCATAAGGCTGAAAAACTATTCAGAGAGAGGCTTGGGTTAGAAATACGGAAAACGTGTGGTAAGATTGATGCGCGCTTCTCTACTTCAGAATGACTAATGTTAGATTTTGTAGCAGAATCAATTCATTTACTTTTTTCCTATAAAGCTGGTGGTTATTGATGCTGTGCTATATAATAATGAGCTTAAATAGTAATGATTTTCCATGCAGATTTGCATGATTACCAAAGGCATCTGCTGGGGAAAAGGCCCTTTCGTTCAGCAATTTATTGCCTGTGCAGGGCATCACTCTCGGCTCTCAGCCTCCTTTTAAAAGCTCTCTGTAAGAGACCAGTCCAGCCCTCTGGTAAGTCTTGCCTTCAGCCTTCTGCCTGAGAGACAATTTTAGAAAATGAATGAAAGAGGAAGTGGTCTGTCAGAAAAGGGGGACAAGCAGAGCCTAGGGGTCGTTGTCCACGTCACGTTATGCCCCACTCACTGGTTGCTTCAATCCCAGCTATTTTGTGGTTTCCAATTGATGACATGATAATTAAGGATGTGCAGAAGGCACCATTTGGGGGACAAAATGATCCAAGCAACACCTTATTGAAAACACTGAATCCCTGTGGATATCAGAAATGCCAGTTCTGTCCTTTTACTTCTGGAAAAACTGAGGGACCAGCCCCGGAATGGCAGGTCGAGCATAGTTTGGAAGAAAAGGGAATGTTTCATCCCCAAAACTACATTTTGCACATCTCTTTTATATAAACATTCCCTTTTCATAACAGCTGTTAGCTGAAAAACCTGCTACCAAATTCCTTATTTTTTGCCACATAGGCTAACGCAGCTCTCTTCCTACAATATCCCTAATGATAATGTTTTTCATAAGTGAGTAGAAAGTTTCTGTGTGCCAAGTGCTCTGGGTTATGCACATTTTTCTTCACAGGGGTTATGTGCAACGTAAGATTTTGCGAACATATGAATAAACATCCAGCAAGTTCTTACTGAGCTCTGATCTGTCTGAACTTCAACAAGAATTCTCGTAACTTCTTAAGTTGTTAAAAGTTCTATTTACTATTATAATGATCAGAACCAGGAAGTCAAAAACCTAACCCTACACCGGATGATTTCATAGGGAATAAAATATTTCTCAAAATAAGGAACAAGGGTGCCTCTGAGCCTACACTTTATGCAAAAAATTGTTTTCAGTACTGGAACTGAGCTTGCAAGTCCAGTCACACGTACCTTAGTTCCTAGCTTTGTCCTCAAGCTTTCTTCCAACCCTGCAACAAGGATAGGCTTTTATTGCTGTTAAAACTTTGGTGTTAGAAACCTTTACCCGTATTACCAAGACGCTTATTAAAGGGGAGTGCTCATCTATCTTCTGCCCATCCTTGATAAGGACTGGGAAGCATATATGATTGTGCTACAGCTTCCTAAATACCCAACTTCCTTTATTTCACCCTGCATATAGCCAGGGAGTGGGAATTCTGCCTCTGTCAAGGCTTTTAGCTTTTCCCACAACTTACGTGGAGGGTTGTTGAAGACCTTCTAGTGCCAGGATGTTACTGAAATTGGGAGATTTGGGCTCCCTCTGCCTCACCTTAAAAGATAGACATGGGAGTTGGAAACCCTGGGGAAGGGAAGCAGTTCTCATTTCCATCCTTAAAATCCTAGAAAATGGCCAAGAAGTCTCAGAAGGGACAGCAGTGGCCACATGTGGGCTGTGGGGTTTCCTGCTCTTTGTTAAAGGCAATCAGTTAGCATCCATTTATTTCCTTATATGCGCACAGAGGGGAGAACAAACAAACACATCTGTTCTTCTTTAAAGGGAATTTCTGAAACTGCAGTTCAGAGGTTACTATTTTGTACCCTAAATTATTCAGGGTTAGGGTTTAAAAAAAAAAGCAACAACACACAATAGCCCAACCTTGTGTTATGTATTCCCGCTGATCCTTTATAAATGATTAAGAGGAGCCCTTCTCAA